GGATGCAATAGGTCTGGGTAGAACCCAGGCATCTGTATTTTTATACACGCTCCACATGTGCAGCGAGAGGAGAGTCCTCCAGTCCAGTCTGGGCAGGTGCCCAAGAAGGGCCTGAGAGGTTCTGCCTTTAAAGAGCGTGCCTGTAACGTAACTGGAAAGATGAGGTATAGAGAAGGGGCTAAGCCAGTCTGCTACGAGGAGAGAAGGCTCTGTCCAGGGGAAGCAAGACCGTCAAGAGAGATCACAGGAGGTGAGAGAGGGAGAGAGGACTGAGGACTGAGACATCGTCAGGGCCTTGGCAGGAACTGGGTGGCACACTGAAGATGGATCATTCTAGAAAGTGGAGTGAGAGGAAGCCCACAGTGCGGAAACAGGGCAACAGCACAGCCCTTACCACCTTCAGGGATAGTTACCATACCCCCAGGGAACCTTGTATGGTGAGGCCAGCTTGAGAGAAGCTGGGCCCTGGAGTCAAGTGGCAATGCCAGCCTGAGGTGGCTTCACAGGAGGTAGCGGGGGAAGATATGGAAGGAATAAATATCCCAAACCCAGCGGAGGCCAGTGGCCTGCTTGTGTGTCTATATGTGTCAGCCTCTGGGGCAGAGAAGGTGGGGAGAGTAGAGAGTGGTTCCACAGGGGCAAAGTGAAGATGTCAGCCCAGCTCAGATGGCCAGGAATACCCACTTTGAAAAGTCAACATATGTTTGGTTTGAGCCCTGTGACAGTGTTCGCCTGCCCTCCCGGCAAAGGACTGGGGACGCCCTCGGAGAATTATCTAATGTGTCTCACTAGCCCAGGAGGAGGGGATGTGCGGCCACACTAGAAGCTCTCATGAGCAGCCCTGGCCACAGCCCATCAGTGCTAAACACGGGAGGCTTGCCGGCCTGTGCCACGCACTCCTCCAGCACCTGGAGCCCCTACAACCCAACACAGCAGGGCTGGTTATACGTGGGCACTGAGGCTCTGAGGAGTTAAAGAACCTGCCTGAAAAGAGAGAGCTAGACAGCAACCAGGCAGGATTCAAACCCAGGTCTATCGCACAAGAGCTTGAGCTCTGGCCATCCTATCATGCTGCTTCTTTCCAGAAAATAAAGTGTGTGAGGAGAATTCTCCATGGGTACCTGCATCCTAAAACTGAAATAAGGCATTGTATTAGTCAGGAGAATTTAGGCTATGATGCAATAACAAACATACCACATATCTGAGAGGCTTAACCACCCAGAAGTTCATTTCTGGCTCCCATCACTGTCTGGTGCAGGGAGGCAGGGGGCTCTGCTCGTTGTAGTCACTGGGGGACCCAGGGGTCCATCTCAGCATGTGCTTCCACAGTGGCTGTGGGAGGGGAAGGGAATGTAGTAAAGAGTTCTCACCCGCAAGTCCCACACATCACTTTACACGTATTTTATTGGCCAGAGCAAGTGCTACGGCCCCACCCAAGTTCATGGGGGTGGGAAGTAGCGTCCTCCCCATGCTGTGTCCTAACGACCTCCATGCTAACCCCCTTGGGCTCTTACTACGTGCCAGGCACTGTGCTAAGCAGTTTGCACGTATCATCCCATTTGAACTCCACAACCACCTACGAGGCCGAGTGTACTCATAGCCCCACTTCACCAACGAGGGCTGCAAGGCACAGAGAGGTTAAATAATTTGCTAAGGTCACACAGGTAGCAGGAAATAGGGCAATGGTTGAATCCAAGCAGTCCAACACACTTAACCACCAGACTCTGATCATTTAGTGATTATCCAACTAACAATTATTTGTGCGGGGCCTGTATGGGAGGGATTGAGGACCCAGTGGAGATCCATGGCTTTTCACTGGTGGATCTGCAGTGCAGAGGACCGTGCATTCTGCTGGATTTCATCTTTAGAAGGTGCCTGTTAGGATTTTAACCCCAAATCTCAAAGCTGGGAAAAACCGAAGAACCCGAGTTGAAATGACCCTCTATCCCATCTTCATCCCATTTAATGCGGATTCTCTCTGCATCACCCCCTCCTCTTCCCTGGGGGCTTACAGCCTCTGTGTCAACACCTCTGTCTCTGGGGACAGCTCAGCTTACGACTTCTTCACAGCACTGAGCCCTCGGTCTCCCCATCCTGAGGCCAGGGGCAACTGGAGTAACCCCGTTCCTTGTGGCATTCCCCTGTCACATACTGGAAAGCGTTACCACATCGTTCTCTGGATAAGAATCAGATAAGAACAATGTTTTCAATGCCCTATCCTGCTCCTGGAACGAGTGAGTTTCTTTAAAGAAAGGCAAAGTTCCCGGCATTTCCCAGCCTGGCCTCCTCCCCGTGGCTGCCTCTGTTGTTCTGGTTGCCATCATGTCCCCACTTCTTTCCTTTGTACCAGGCACTCCCTGAAGATAACATCTGCCAGGCCACCCCTCCGGGCCAGGTTTTTCTGTGGGTGGGGGAATACCCACTTTGAAAAGTCAACACATGTTTTGTTTGAGCCTGTGATAATGTTCGCCTGCCCTCCTGGAAAAGGATTGGGGACGCCCTCCGAGAATTATCTAATCAGTTCTAGTTTCCCAGGCCTTTCTTGTTGGATTTTAACTTCATTTTTAAGAGAAAACAGCCAAGCACCACAGGTTACTAAATTTCTTTCTTTTTCTTTTTCCTTTTTATCATAAAGATTAGGCCCAGGCACTAAGATTTGAATCATCCTATGTTTTCTCAAATGGACCATATCAAGGGGCCATGTAACCATGATACCTAGTATTTGCTCAGTACTTTGAGGTTTACCTTGCACTTTTATATTTACACTCTTTGATTTGATTCTCATGTACTTCCAGTGAGCTAGGCATCAGAATTCTGTCCATTTTACAGATCAGTAAACTAAGGCTTAGTGAAGTTCAGAAGCTGGCCCAATGTCACATGGCCTTTAAGTGGGAGAGCTGGAGCTTGAACTTCTAGTTTAAACCTACCATGAGGCCATGGCCACTGCGTGCTTGCCAAATTCCACTTCAGTGAAGCATAATTTTCACTTTTGATGCTTTTGTGGCCCCAGAATGGAACCAAGATGTTTATTCAGCAAGTGTATAAAGCATTTCTGGGCAAGTGCTATTTGGGAGTGAGCCTAGAAAGGGCAAGCGGGTGGGCAAACACCAGGGGTCCAGCCGAGAGAGGGTGCAATTCATCATTTATCCTCACTGTATGCAGGTGGCCCTACTGAAGAGCCAACCACAAGCGGGCCCCGGGCACTTCACTTGGGATCTGCAGAGAGAGGGCTCCCGGGACTGGGATGCAGAAAAGGCGTCTCCCCCGAGGGAGAGGTGTGGGCAGGCCTTCGAGCTAGGACTTAGAAGACCACGATGAAGGTAGAACAGGCACAGAGGAAGGGAACTGAGCTTCTGGACAAGAGCCCCCAAGGTTTCTCATGACAAAGGTACAAGCTTTGGGGGTCAACAGAGGCCAAAAAGGTGCCCCCCTGAGTCCCTGAGGTAAAACACTTCAGCTCCAGCTTCTTGTTGTGTTTTTCATTTCCTTGTTTCCTCCCTCTTGGCTATAAACTCCCTGGGGGTAAAGAGTAGGTTCATGAGACCCAGTGTGCCCACCGAGCAGCCCACAGCTGGTGCTTGATCCGTGGTGGCTGGGAGACTGAATGGGAGGGGCATGGCCAGAGCAGAGGCTGGAACCTGAGTCATCAGTGGTACCACCTGGGCCGCTGCCTTCCCCTCTCCAGCCTCAGTCTCCCTCTTAGAGTCAAAAGGGTTGGCGTGGGTCATCTCTAAGACCCCTTGGACTGTCTTCCTCTCTCTCCATCCCAGGAGCATTTCTTGGCAGGCAGGCAGAGGAGTAGTTTTGTTCAGCCCCCACTCATTATCTCCTGGCCCTTTTTGCCCCAGAGCTTCGAAGTTTGCAGAACAACAGGGAGTTCTCATAGTTGGCATGCATGACCCGCCCCTACCGCACACCCCTTGGGCGTTGCTTAGCCGGTAGGGGGCTGTGCTCTGAAGGAGGGGCCTGAGCTGCGTGAGGCTGGCATCTCCCAGCCCCATTATCACAACCGGGCCATCTCTCGAAGCCACATTTCAGGATGACGGGTCAGCCTGGACCCAAAAATGTCTTCAGGTCTACCAGACTTAAAAACGCATCCAGGCCTCAGAGATGTTAATGAGAGGAGGAAAAAAGGCTCATCCCACAGCCAGAGGACCAGGGGCCGTCTGGGCTCCCCATCAACACCCAGTGTTGTGTTTCTGGCTTTCTGGCACCCAATCCAACACCCACTCTCCTCACTTTCTCTCTCAGTAACGGCATCCTGATTTCCTTTTGGAAACTTGCAGGCTGTCTGATGAGACCGTCATTCAAGATGCCCCGCTCTCCCCAAGACAAGAGATGGCACCTGAGCCCGACAGAGCCCACTACGCAGGTTTTCCTTGGAATCTGAATCCTGAGCAGAGGGACAAAAAGCAGGAAATGGTTGGTGGCCTTGTTCCAGTGGCACCACCACAGAGAGACCTTCCATCTGCTCCTGCCAAGACTCTCAGAGCAGCCGCGTTCCAATCCTTCGGCCCTGGCTGGTCTACTTTCCCCTGATTCTGTCCCTCATTTTCAACTGCCTGTTCTGTTGCCCACATCCCCAAAGCCCTATCTGATTCACCTTTCAAATCCAAAGGCAGAGGCATAGAGACTGCACAGCTGGTCATCTTGGGGTAGCAGAGCGAGACCCCTGCCTCTTCCCAAGAATCAGGACCATCAGTGTGGCAAAACCACAGGTGAGACCAGAGCTCCTGTCCCGATGCCGCCTCTCAGCCGTATGGCCTCAGGCTTTGGACTTGACTTGGAACCTCAGTTTTCTCATCTCTAAAATGGGAAAGTTTGCCTACCTGTTGGGACCGGGGTGTGGCTTAATAAAATACCCAGAGAGGACCTAGCACAGGGCTGAAAATCTACAGGACTTTCCGGGAGGGTAGATTAGATTGTCATTCTGATGAGAAAGTCTCATTGCTTCTCATCTGTTAACCCCAGATGTATTTGAGAAACAGAGTCAGCTTCTTTCTGTTTAACATGCACTGAAATCATCACCTTTTCAGTTGCCCAAACCATTGGGTCACCAAGAAAAGCCTTCCCAAGCCTCTTTCGGGAAAGGACTTCTTTTTCTAACTTGAAACAAGGAGTCATTTGCCAAACTGAAATAGCGCAGAAACCTTAGAACCCACAGATTTGAGTGAATTCTAATCTTGGCCAAAACTGGCAGGAGTGTGAGGGTGTGGGGGGAAGGGGTGGATGAGTCAGAGATTCCACCCTTCAGAGGGGGCAGCCTAATATGGCATTGGGGAGCCACGAGAGATGACTTAGGTATGCCTGGACTTCCAGACTGGAGCCACGACTCTGGCCAGGACCCAGCCGTACCCCTCCAGCCCCACCTACCCTCACATACACATGGAGCAGAGCCTTGGGTGGCGAACCAAAGCTGGGAGCCCAGATCAACTTGGGAGGAGCCAGCCAAGAGACCAGGACCTTGACCCCAGAAAGGGTGGCACCCACCTTTCTCCCAGCATGCCCTGGGGCTTGGGCCAAAGGTGGACCTGTCTCTTCAGGCAGGACGTGGTCCTCGCTGACTCCAAGGTCTCCTGAGGGCAGCCGACATTGATCAAGTCTGTGATAGGGACATAAACATGTAATAGTGAGTAATAGTGAGGCTTCACTCCACATAACCTCAGAGCAAGTGAAATTTATCTTCATCCCTGGAGAAAAAGACCGGGTAGGGGAGGACCTTCAAAGGCGAGAAGTGATTTCTGATGGTTTTACAGTTTAACGAAAACACAGAGATGCCTCTTCTTTTTTTCTTTAAGAATAGATACCTGTTCATGTATAACTGAATCACTTTGCTGCATACCTGAAACTAACACAACATTGTTAATCCACTATACTCCAGTATAAAATAAAAAGTTTAAAAAAAACAAAAACAAATAGACAAACAAAAAGAGATGCCTTTAAATGGCGTGGGTGGAAGACAGCTGACTTTTAGACCTGGCTTAGCTCCTCACTAGCTGTGTGACTATGGGCAAATTGCCTTGCTTTTTGTGCCTGTATATATATATATATATGTTTAATCATCTATAAATTGAGAGAAGTGCTTCTCAAACTGGAGTGCTCATCAGAATTACCTGGAGGGCTTGTTTCCTGGGCTCGGGCTCAGAGATTCTGACTCAATAGGTCTGGGGTAGGACCTAAGAATTTGCATTTCTAACAAGCCCCCAGGATTACAGAATTGCTCAGGCATATTCAGGGGAAAAACAAAGTCTCCTTGCCCTGGATGCCCAGCAAAGGTCCTCTGATTGGACTGGCCTTCTCACGGCTCCATCCCTGGAGGCAGCATGTGAATCCATTCCCCCAAACCACTCAGATCAGCAAAACAGAGATTGCCGATAATTGGGAAGGGCCAAAAGAAGGAATGATGCTGGAGAGAGAAGCAGCAAACACCTCCCTTGGTGTCAGAGCTGGCACTGGAACCCCAGTGAGGCACAGTCTTCAGCCTCTGTTCTTTCCAGCCCACCTGCCTCCAAAGTGGACTAGATCTGGGAGGAGTCCTGGTTCAGGACCCCACCTCCAGGGAAGACTGTACCTAAACATACCAGACAGATGAACCCATCCACATCCTTCCAGGAAGGAGGTAATTACCTTGGCTCTCCTGACAGGTGTCCCCCAGGGAGACTTCAGCCACACGCAGGAGTCACGCTGGGGCATTCGTGTATAAACCTGTGTCCTGGACAAACAGACAGAAAACTCTCAATCACTTGGGCTTGCAGACTTGCACAGTGTCTATTTGCTGACCTCAGAGACACTCCCAAAGGACAAGGGTGGTGATGAAGGTGATAATGAAGGGACCAGTGTGTCTCTGCCTTTGTCCCTGAGGTTTGATACTCCCTAGGAGGTATCTGTTCAGATCAGGATTTCAGGTTTTAGATGATCTGTTCCCAAAAGTGAGCCAGCCATTTATCAGCCTTCCTACCCAAGGAATCTGGAATAATATCTTCAAATAATATCTGGAATAATATCTTCAAAGTATTCATAGTCTAGGGGAAGATAAGACCCAAAGAAAGAGAAACCACAGTTCATGACAAACACCATTGCTGAGCTTTGGATAAAATTCTAACTCCACGTGCAAGAGACCAGGAAAGACTTCCAAGGGCTGTGATGTTTGACCTGGGCCTTGAAACAGTTTGCCAAAGAAAGGCGTCTGGGGAAAGCCATTCTAGATATAGAGAACAGAACGTTGATTAGTGGAGAGGTTGTCCATGGAATGATGGGTTCAGAGTGACGGGAACATAAGGTCTCAGCGGGGAGTGGTGAATGACAAGCCTGGAAAGTTGGTTAGTACGTCATGCTGCAGAGTTTGGATTTTATCCTGAGACGGCAGGGGCCAACAAAAGTTTTTTTAAGCAAGAGAATGGAATGGGATGAGACGTGACATTTTTAGGACTAAAACTGGTAGAGGGTGGAGGGTGGCCTGGCCAGGGAGAGACGGAGACAGCCGGGCTAGTCAGGAGGCAAAGAGATGGGAGGACAGAGGGAAGGCCATGGTTATGGAGATGGGAATGAGAGGGACAGAGCCAGGACAGGACAATGGACAGGAAGTGGTGGCTACTGGATGTGGGAGAGGACAAGAGGGAGGAGTCAAGGCCACATCCAGAGTCTCCGGTTTGGGAGGCTGATGAACGGTCTTGACCAAGTTAGGGAGTGAGGAAGAGGAGAAGACTTGAGTAGCTTGGCATGAATGGAGCAAATGGACACGTATTGGGCCATTTTCTGTAGGCCACCTCTTCATACTTCACATGGCAAGTAATTCTTGAAAAATACAAATGACTAAGTGATACAGAGTAGATTTTCAAAATTTCCCCCCAGAACAATCATCTCAAGCCTGGAACTCTATCTCCTGATCATTAAAGCCAACAAGATCATCAAAAATACCTGCAAAGGGCAGGCAAGGATCAAAACAAGAATAATAAGCAAAGCAGTACTGGGAAGGCAACCTCTTCTTAACTCGTAATTGAATCACGTCCACTGACTCTTGTCGGGTGATATAAATTAACACACTTAAGAGACATCCACGCCAGGGACTCTACCAAGGCCCCATGTCCGTGTGTACCCCAACTGGGAATGATGGACAAAGTCCCCTTTCATGCAATCCTCTCCCAATAGAAAAAGAAAAAAACAATTTTAACCACGGAAATAAATAGAGAAGATGATGGCTTTAAAATTAAATGTTGGAAAAACGTCATGCAGCAAAATCCCAAACCCCAATCGTGGTTGAGGATGCCGCAAACCACACACATTTGCACTTCAAGAGTGAAAGATGTTTTGAAAGAGTCCTTGAAATAAAGATTCCCAGGTTCCACTGGGGGAGGACCAATTTCGGTCCAAAACACATCTTTATGGCTGGGTTTTTGAAGCCCAGGAAAGTGTTCCTAATGGAAAGGCTGACCGGTCTGTCCACACACCACACCAGCAAGATCGAGGCTCTTTAAGAAAATGAGATTTTCCTTTGCAACTAGGTCAACGTGGAAAGAAAACAAGAGTTTCTTCTGGAAAGTTCACAGTTTTCAAATGGGACGTTAGAAAAATAACTTCCTTATGGAATGGGATGCCTTATTGCTTTCTCTTTTACCTGAAGCCAGGTTAACTGGTTGAGAAAACAAAGTGGCAGAAAAACAGGAACCACCTGTTGTTCAGAAGTGCTGTCTGACGGGCTGGGAAGACAGACCCTTCCTAGGTACGCAAGTTCTACTCAGGTGCCACAGGCTCAGGCCCACCGAGCCCAGGCAGGTGCATTGAGAAGTGAGGCTGGCCAGGTAGGGGCTGACAGGTGGAGCTCATGTGCCTGGTCACGAGGGAACAAAGGCTAATCTGCTCTGGCCACTGTGGCCACGTGATGCCAGTGTCACCAACACCTGAATTTCCAGGGGGAGCTTGAGAGATGCATGTTTATGTGAAATCTTCTGAATTTTAACACTGAGAACCAAGTCCAAAAAAACTGAAACACAACATGGGCCAAACACAGCCCAGCTTGCCGGCACCATCTGAGGTCTCTTCTGTCCCGTGCTAATCAGGACTGAGGCAGAATTTCAACATGTCAAGAGAAGGAAAGAAAAGAGAGGACTCGTTTGTTAGGCACTATCTTGATACTAGAAGCCGGGAGACTTGGGTTCCTGTCCCAGCTCTTTGACTAACTCCTCGGTATGTCGCTGGGCCAGCTGCCAGCTCCCCCTTCTCCGGGCCTGTGAAAGGAGGGGCTAGGATGAGGTGAATTCCAAGCACTTGGCCACCTACAGCCTGGGATGCTATGCCCTCAGCTGATGGAAACCATTCAATGCGTAAGAGGTGTTTTCTGGGAATCAGAGGTGACCCTGAGTTAATGGTTCAGGAATTCAGGTGGGTGCAGCCCTCTGTACTCCCCTCTTGGTTTTCAGGTGATTTCTCATGAGGAATCTCCCTAACCTCCAGAAGGAAAAAGAGCTGATAAGCTGAAGTCTCAGTGAGGCTCCTGTGATATGGCTCCTGTTTTCCCACCCCTGTGTGCTCCACAGGGATTTGCTGAGGCATTGAGACTCTAGGCAATCTCATCACGCCTCAGCCTTACAATAAGCCTGGAAGGTAGGTACCCTTGTCCATTTCTTTGCCTGCATTTTGAAGATGAGGCAATGGAGGCTCAGAAGTGTTTATCATCTTACCCAAGGTCACACAGCAAGGAGAAGGCCAAGAGAAGGACACAGTAAACTGAGGGTGGTCTCTATCAGGAAAGGCTGGCCCACCCATTTCTAGGCAATAAAATCCCAAATACTGTAAGAAGAGAGAGTGTCTCAGTTAAAAATGGGCCACTTTCAGCATCTTTGCACACTCTGCCCCTCCTACAACTTTCCTGGCCACATAGAGACAGCCGTGGGTAGCTCTGCCTTAGGTCCAACTTAACAACTCCTTCTGGGACCACATTTCTGTTGTTTTGAAAGATCAACCAAGTAGCCCACCCTCTTTCTAGATAACTCAGTTTAAAAAAAAACAAAAACAAAAACAAAACACAGATTCGTTACCTGGAAAGAAAATCGCTTTTTCTCCTTTCTCTTTGATGGTATTTTCTTTCAGAACCCCGGATGTGGCAAAGGACAGGATATTTATCTGTGTTTATCTGACAAGTGCAGGGGCCAGGACTGCCGGGCCACCCTCATCCTGGGGGGTGTCCTGACATCAGAGGACACATAGCAAGTATGCCTTTTTCTCCAGAGAAATGACGTTCCCCTGTGCCCTGGGAGAACTGGGTCTCTCTTTCTCTGGAACCATGTGCCTCGAGCAGCCAGAAAGAACCAGAGAATCCACACCGCCTTGTCCGCAGCAGAGGGTCACCCCCCCACGGGACCCAAGACTCATTCCGTCATGCCCGAAGCTCCCCTGTGAACTTGGGGGTCTGGGCAGAGGTATCTTCTTCGTGACCGAGACCTTAAGGTTTTTATTTACAATCACGCTCGCAGTTGCCCTTTAGACCTGTTGCTGTTTTGCCTCTTTCCAGGGCTTTTCCCAAAGTTACTGGACAACAGCTGTGTTGGGGGGGGGGGCAGAGATGATAACTGCCCCTACATTATAGATGAGAAACCTGAGGCTCAAGGGACTAAATGGCTTGCCCAGGGCCATCTGGCTGGTGAGGGCTGAGCTGGGTTTCAAGCCCAGCTCCTGAACTCCACTGGGCTGGGCGGCCTGCCTCACTCTGCCCCCCTCTCACCCCCACGTGAAGGCCGAGAGGGCTCCCTGCGGTCCATCCAGTGAGGGTGGGCAGGAGATGCCAGCCCTGGCTTTGAAGCCCATGGCTACTCAGAAGCTACCCCACTGGCTTGGAGAGACAGGTGTCGTGTCTACAGCCCCTGGCTGAGGTCTGTGGAGAAATGCAGCCTGTATCCCGGGGGGACAAGGTCTGAGGGCTGGACATGAGACCAGGAAGGAAAGGAGAGGAGGAAGAGAGGGAAAAGGACAGCTATGGACTGAATTGTGTCCCTCCTCAACTCACGTGGAAGCCTCTGTTCCCTAATGTGACTGCATTTGGAGATAGGGCCTTTAGGGATGTAATTAAAGATGAGTGATGTTATAAGGGTGAGGCCCTAATCCAATAGGATTGGTGGCCTTAAACCAAGAGGAGCAGAGTCCTCTCTCCCTCCCTGTCCTGTCTCTGTCCCCACAGGCATTGAGGAGAGGCTATGTAAGGACACAGTGGGAAGGTGGCCATCTGCAAGCCAAGGAGAGAGCTCTTCCCCAAACCAAATTGCCTGAAGCCATGTCCTGGACTTCAAGCCTCCAGAGCTGTGAGAAGTGGATGTCTGTTGTTTAAGCTCCTCAGTCTGTGGTATTTTTTATGGCTGCCCAAGCAGACTAAGACGAGCACAGACTCAAAGAAGAGGGAGAAAGAGCAACCTCGCTGTGGCCAGCCACCACCCAGGGTGCGTCACGCCACCCTCACCCCTCAGTTCCCATGCCTGACACCCTCCCCCAGACCCGAATCTCTTCCATCTCCAGGAGGCCTATTCCACAGAGACCTGGGCTGAGATCTACCCCAGTCAGCCCAGGTAACCATTCTTTCCTTAAAAACTCCCCTTCACATGGACAGATTTTCTCACTGTTGACTCCGTTGTCCACCAGGGAATGACCCTCAAGGTTTCCTCTGACCTGGGTCACGTGCATTCCTCCTCAGCCTGTTCTATCCTCCAAGAAGGTCAAGTATGGGTCACCACCTCATGCAAAGCTCACCCAGCAGGGAGGGACTAACTGCTGGGCAGTTGCCGGAAGTACGCACATTGAGGAAAGCCTCCCAAATCTAGAAACAGGCCAGCTCGGGTTTGGATCCCAGTCTCCCACGTGGCAGCTGTGGAACTGTGACTACATTGCCTCAACTCCCTGCACCTGTCTCGGGAGAGCGGTGCGAACATGAAAGGAGATGCTAGGAAGACCCACCCCCGCTGAGTCCCCTTCTCGCCAGGGTCAGGCAGGGAACGGGTTTACTGCTCTGGCCAGTCAGGACACCAGAAGGCCCTCGGATAAAATGGGAGCCCCCAGATCCACCAACCTGATTGTAAAATTATTTGAGAGGCCACCAAGTCTCAAATATCCCACCCTCCTCCTCCGTAACAGGTTGAATAGTGCCCCCCCCAACCCCCAAATATGTCCATGTCCTAACCCCTGGAACCTGTGAATGCGAACTTTTTGGGAAACAAAGTCTTTGCAGATATCATTAAATTAAGACTTTCAAGATGTGATCAACCTGGACCATGAAGGTGGTCCCTAGATCCAGTGACAAGTGTCCTTATCTGAGATGCACAAAGGAGTAGCGATCATAAGGAGAAGAGGAGAAGCCATGGGAAGACAGAGACAGAGATGGCAGTGATGCAGCCACAAGCCAAGGAATGCCTGGAGCTGCCAGAAGCTGGAGGAAGCAAAGACACATTCTCCCCTGGAGCCTTTAGGAGGAGCACATCCCTGTTGATGTCTTGATTTGGGTCTCGAATGGTGGCAGAATAAATTCTGCTTGTGTTAAGCCACCAAGTTTGTGGTAACTTCTTACAGCAGCAAGAGGGAACTATAGGACTATTCAACAATGAATAATGGCTAATACACCCTCCATCCCTGGTGCAGTGCTGGGCCCACAGCACATAGTTCATGACTGGCTGGCTTGGTGGAGAGTGCTAGAATGAATATCTACGTCATCTCAGAAGTTGTCCCCTGACAAAGCAACTTCATAAATGTCCCTTGGGACAGTCTTAAAGGGCCATCTCTGCAGGTACCATCCCCCATTCTCCTCACCCAATGTCAACTCTACCCAAATAGCCTTTCCTCCCCTGGAAACAGGGTGTGGCCACACATTTCTAGAATGCACTGTGACCCTTGGTTCTGCCTCATGGGAGCTAAGTGAAACACTCCACTGGAGCCTCCCTTTGCACAAACTCTGACAACGTTTCTGCTGTGCAGGACAGACACTGCCCCGCGTTCATCCCGTGGAGCGGGGCCCCGCACCAGCTGGAGTCATGCACGACTTCTTAAGGGGCAAGAAAGGATGCTCTGTGTTCCTCACTGCCTGCTATGGCTGGGGAGCAGGGGTGGGCAGGAGTGGTTAGAAACTTGGTCTGAGGGACTTCTGGGGAGAAGGCCTGAGAAATGAAACTGCTCAGGCTAATTAGACCTCTCAGAAGAGGTGGGCAGTGGCGGGGGGGGGGTTAGGGACCTTTCAATGCCCCCTGTCCAATCTCCAAGCCCTGAAATGCAGCAACATCAACAACCAAACCATTTGATTTACATAAAAGCAGAACGCTTGCAATGGAAAAGCAGCCCCAGACCAACTCCCTAAATCCTCAAACCACCTTCCACACCGATTGCAGACCCTCCACCAGTTCTGTGAAGAAATTCTGACACCACCTCTGCCCTCCCACCTCTTTCCTTCTTAATAGCCAGTGTGCTCCTCTGTAGATGTGGAACGGATCTGAACTCTCCTAAGGTGTGCTTGGGTCCCATGAGATCTTAAATAACCAGGAGGCCCTATGTCGTGGGGCGACCAGAGGAATTCGGAATATTTTTATTTTTCTGAAAAGCTCTAAAAACCTCATCTACAGTGGTGCGTGTGCACACACACAGGCAACCACAAATCCCCGCCCGGCCGCTGCCCGGGGGCCCCTTCTCAGGTTCTCTTTGGGTCTACAGGTGCCATGTAAATCAGCTCAGGCCAACAATGTGTACCTTTCAAGGGATAACCACTTACATCCTCGCCTTCTCCCTCGCACCCGCCCCAGCTTTCACTCTGGGGAGCTGCCAAAGGCTCAGCTTCCCCAGAGCAGCTACACACGCCCCGGCTTCCTTTCCCAGGGGTCCCCTTCATGTCATATATCCTGCACTTGACTAAACTCACCTGCTTTCAGGTCAGAAAAATAAGGGCTTAGTGCTTGATTTTCTTTAAACCTCATTTAGAAGACAAGGAAAAAGCTGAGACCAGATCCAAGCATTTTTATTACCTGCATACATACATTTATTGCATATGTAGGTTTTTTTTTTTTTTTTTTTTCTGGATCTGTGTACGTGGGAGAGTCGCTTGTTGATTTATGGGATAAGGGGCTCTGTCATTTCAAGCCTTCAGCAATCTGACCTTTAGAGATAACTTTAACTCCAGATTTAGGGAAGCAAACAGAAGTCACGCTCAGTGATGGGTCCAGGTGAACTCAGGCAGCACCAACGTGATCTGTCCTCTGACGGCCTTTGTGTTCAGGGAGAAGCTTGGACCAGAATGTGTGCCTACCATCTCATCCATGAAAATCTTAATGCACGTGAGAACACCGGAGTGATGGAAAATAAGGTCCAGCCAACAAGACCGTAAGGAGGGCCACCCTGCCCCCTGACCACAGTGTCCCAGCCCTGCAGAGGAATACAGAGTGTGACGGTCCAAAGGTGCTCTTTCGCTGGGAGAGATCAGATTTACTTCCTGCCAAACAAGCATCATTCAAATCCGAATGTCAACCGCTCTCCTTCCCCGCTTCTGAAAGAACCACGTTATTTATTTAGGCTTTGGTTTGGGGCTGTCTGTGGCAACCTTGTTTGGAAGAGTACCGGGCATGCTGGTACACGGCGCTCCAGGGGAGAAACGGCGCCAGGAAGGCTTGTCTTGACACATCACATTGGCCGCTAACTGTCTCCAAAGGATCTCAAAACATCCCGCTTGGCCAAAGGGTATTTTTCATGACTTCCATCCCCACCTGCCCAGGCCTTTCAAGTGGACCCTGATCCTGAAAGCATCCCCCAATTTCAGAACCTTGTTATTTGCTACTATCCTTGACCATAAGCCACTTGCATGGGCCTGGCATCCACCTGGTACATCATCATCTAAACCAGGGGTCCATCAACTTTTTTCTAAAGGGTAACAGACAGTAGATATCCTTACTTGTGGGCCATTTGGTCTCTGTTGAAACTACTCAGCTCTCCGATAGAATACG